TATTTTTGTTAACGTTTCAGATTGTGTTCTGCTCTTCCTGATAAAACTGGTATTGTGATCACATGACATAGTTAGCAACTGACGAGCAGAGAGTGATCTGTTTTACTGGGAAAAGCAGAAAGTGTTCTATTCTAGAGGGAGTGATGTAGCAGAAGGTGATGCCATATATCTACATACACGAGAAATTTATGCCATTTACTAATCGCTTGCCAGCCATTGCACGCATTGATGCGCACTGTATGTGAACCAGAAAAGGAGCAGGACAAGCTTTGTTAGGAGCAGAAAATCAATACGAAAGAGAGCGGAACTTCGGTTAGTTTGTTAGCAGAAAATTAGTTCTAAAAAGAGCAGAACATCAACAACCGACCGCTTATATATAGAACACCAGGGAAGAGCTGATGTTCTGCTACCTTTCAAACAGAAATTCTGCTCAATGTTCTGCTCCTTTTAAAATGGGTCTTCAGAAATGATCTTCTGCTCCTTTTCCAGATCTATTCTTCTACTAATTAGACGAGCAGAAGATCTTCTGAAAATTCATACGAGCCATCTAACTTGTTTAGCGCTTACCACCGTAAATGTAGTAGCCGGTTGATCTCATCCTAACTGATAAATGGATTGGCCGGTATTCTGTTCCCGGAGGAGCAGAAAATGGACGCAGGCAGAAGCTCATATGAGAAAATATATTTTCCGTTGATGTTCTGCCATTTTTAATATACATTTTCCGCATCCACACCTTTTCAGTTGATGTTCTGCATTTTTTCTACTTAAAGCAGAAGATTTTCTGCTCGTCATCCAGTTGATGTTCTGCATTTTTTCTTCTTAAAGCAGAAGATTTTCTGCTCGTCATCCAGTTCCATGTACTGCCCATATATATAGCATCATCAACCGGCCAAAACAAGCAGAAGATCATGCACTTGCATGTGCTGCCCCATCTATAGAATCATCAACCGACTAAAACGAGCAGAAGGTGAGATCCACAACCTTCTGCCTATATTAATTTCCATAGAACCTTCTGTTCATATTAACCTTCTGCCCTATCCGCCTATGTTAATCTTCTAAACCATCTCTATATGGTTATTAATTTTCATAGGGAACGAGCAGAAGGTGATCTAACCTTCTGCCTACATTCTGGCCAGGGAGCTTCATATAAGAAGATGGGATTTAGTTACATGAGCAGAACATAATGTTGTTTGTACCTAATCACCTATTAGCTAGGGAGCAGAAGGTCCTGCATGCACTTGATATTCGACGAATTTTTTCAGTTGATGTTCTGTCATTTTCTGTTGAGACGCTGAATTTTTGTAGTTGATGTTCTGCTGTTACATGGATTTTTCTTTCGTTTGATGTTCTGCCGTATTTAGTTAATAGTTAGTTTGAGAGGCAGAAACTCCATGCTAGAAGCTAGTTTGCATGCAACCGTTAATTAAGTGATTTATTAAAATAATAAACTATTTAGTTAATTGTTTAATCTACTGATTTATTGGATCCTTGCTTATACCACTAACCCACTAAGGGAAGGGAGTAGCTACTCCCGGTAGTAGGAAATAGGCGTCCAATACATATATACATACATACATATATATATATATATATATATATATATATATATATATATATATATATATATATATATATATATATATATATATACATACATATACATATATACATATATACATATATATACATATATATATATATAGGGAGGATCTATAGAGATATTAACTAGCTAACACAGGTAAACTAATTAAGCTAACCCAGATATTATTAGAGAAAATGGGGAAAAAATGGGAGAGATTTGTTAATACAGCTAGCTAGCTAGGAGCGAAAAGGACATGTAGCCTAGTGGTTGCAGTGACTTCAATAGCACCCCAAGATAATAAATTTAAATCTTCATACGAGCGAATTTTAGATTGATTTATTTGAGGGTTAAGTTCCCTGTATGATAGCTAAGTTTCTAATTTAAAAATGGCTAAGTCCTTGTATGATAAGCTAAATTTCTAATTTAAAAAGACTGCATATATCTGATTAGATGTAGAAGTCCGGATAAAAAATACTTCTCGCTAAAAAAAAAAAAAAAAGCGGAGTACGTAACGTACCTGGTATGCCACATTCAAGCCTGCGCCTATTTTGACACCACCGCTAGCCTCCAAGGCTTGAACCGCGTCGTTGGACGACCTCTTGTCTTGTTCCGTCATGGGAGTGAGCTCGGAGAGCCGGTCTGCCCTCGGGCCGAAGGTGACGATGGAGAGGCGGTCCTGCTGCGTGAGGTTGTGGATGATGAACTTGGCGCCCTGCTTCAGCTGCTCCAGCTCCCTCATCCTGCCACCGATGTCCAGCACCATGACGAGGTCCAGTGGCGCCCTCGTCTGCTTGGTGTACGCCGGCGCCTTCACGCGTACCATCACGGCGAGCTTCTCGCGGCGTTGGGACGAGATGGCCGGGACCTCCGTGAACACTCCCAGCTGCACCTTCCCAGCTGCCGTCGCCACCGCCTCCTCTTGTTGCTGGGCGAGTCCGGAGCTGTCCGCCGCGTGCACCGGCGTCCGCCCGGTCACCGCAGGTTCTTGGGCGACCGTGGAGCTTGGCTGGAACATTATAATTATTAACATAGATCATCGGATAAAACATACGCACAGCACACTAGCTACTTCCTCCGTTTCACACATTGTAAGACTTTTTAGAACTATCCATATTTATATATTTCTAGATTCATTAACAACTATATGAATAAGAGCAATGCTAGAAAGTCTTAAAATATAAGACAGAGGGAGTAGCTATATATAAGCATCCGATGTCCAGATATATTTTAAAAGTATATATATGTATGTAGAAATGGCTATATTTTAAAATGGAAGTCACATTATATGACGTTTTAGACTTGGATGAATAGGCTCATACATCCATAAGGGCAGTTCCAACCCTCCACCTAGGATGGTGTCTATGGCATTAACTATATTGCCATGTAGAACTTTTAGTTTATGTGGCACTATATTAATTAAGAGAGAGAGTGAAGAGAGGAAGAAACTGGGTCTCATGCAAGACACAGCTTCAACACGAGAACCTATGCACTAGACACTATCAGGTTTTGCATTGGGAGATAATAGTGTCTTCATAATAGATGAAGAATAAATATGATTGGTAGAGAAGATAGATGGTGTATTTATTAATGGCTTATTAATGGCCCACTTTAAGAAATCATGGGTTGTGGAGTGTAGTTTCTATTGTGATGTCTTATTGACATGGCACCATAGACACTACTTATGGACACTATGGGTTGGGACTGCCCTAAATGTTGTACTACCTCCGTCCCTGAATATCTGACGCCGTTGACTTTTTAAACATGTTTGACCTCGTTTTATTAAAAAATTGAACTAATTTATTAAATATACTTTTATGTATACATATAGTTTTACATATTTCACAAAAGATTTTGAATAAGACAAACGGTCATATATGTTTAAAAAAGTCAACGGCATCAAATATTTAGGGACGGAGGGAGTACGTGCATGCTTCATATTTGTGTCCAAATTCATATGTATGTTAATAAATTAATCTAGATGAGAAATGAAGAAGCTAAAACACGTTTGTTGTCGGTTTACATATCTATCTCTACTATTATAAAAATTGAAGATATTTTTATCGGTATTTTGATATGTCATCTGTGTTTGAGTCGGTTTTTTAAGCTCGTTCACTTTTAGAAATACAAATCCGTGTTTGATTTGAATTTTAAACTCATTTGCTTTTGGAAATATAAAAGAAATCATATAAGAAAGCTCTTTAAAAAAGGAACTTGTATGCTAACTTAGATGAAATACAAACTCCTAATTGCAGCTTATAATTTTCTAAAAAAAATATCGAAGCAAATTTCCACAGTGAATTTTATCCTAACTAAACCGTATAATAACAAAAAAAAATTGAAATAGCATTTACTTTTATGTATACATATATAGACGTACTCTCTCCGTCCCAAAAAAAGACAAACCCTGGTTTTCGTGTCCAATGTTTGACCGTCCGTCTTATTTGAAAAAAATATGAAAAAAAATTAAAAAAAAAGTCACGCACAAAGTATTAATCATGTTTTATCATCTAACACCAATAAAAATACAAATTATAAAAAAAAATCATATAAGACGGACAGTCAAAGTTAGACACGTAAATCCAGGGTTTGTCTCTTTTTTTTTTTTTTTTTTTTTTTTTTTTTTTTTTTGACCGAGGGAGTATGCAGGTATATGCGTACCTTGTCCAGGAACTGGCAAACCGCCGGAAAGGCCCAGCCATGGTCCTGAGGAGACGACTTGGACAGCGAGGCGAACTCGTGATCGTCCTTGGGCGGCCGCGACACGCGCTCCACGCTGCCCGACGCATAGTTTTCTTGAGACCCGCGAACGAGGTGACCCGTGATGCGGTTGAGGCACACCACCGCCTCGAAGTTGAGCAGGCATCTCTTTCTCAGGTACTGAGGCGTGTTGCAGATGGAAAGGCAGGGGGCGTTGCGGACGAGCTCGTCGAACCTCGACTGCACATCCATGGCGCTGTCCCTGAGCTCGATCCCTCTCCAGATCCACATATCCGCCTTGTGGATAGGCGGCCGCCCGTTGCTCCAGGCCTCGCTCATGGTGGAGCCGACGTGTGCCATGACCCTGACGAGCTCACGGACCTTGCTGTTGAGGTCTTCCATGTTGTACTCGGCTATCCTGGGCCATCTCCCCTGCGTGTTGTACACCCACACCAACAGCTTCTGGATCGCGGATGAGACCTCGGCTACGACCGCTGCTTCCAAGCTCGAGTTCCCGCGAATACCGGCGCCCTGCAGGCCTGCAGGTGCCATGCATGCGGTCCCTTCATGGACAGCGGCTGGCGGCGCCATGACCGATCGATCGATATATATCTGTACGATTAATTCATGTTTAATTTGTGTAAGAAAGTCTATATATATATATGCGGAACACCAATAATTAGTTGCTACGTACAGACCACACAGTACTAGTTTAACTATAATTAAGGTGCGCGCAGAGCAGAAGAACAAATCAATGATCAGCTTCCGCTCATCGATCAGCAGCATCAAACGAGTGCTTAATTACGAAATGAACTATTATGAGATTGACAATAATTAAGTTTACCTAGAGCTGTCTATCGAGTTAGCTGAAGCGCCTGAAGGTGCTGGAGAGCGCGCGGAATTAGATGCTATACCAAGAATTCAAAGATAGACGAGGCAGACAACAATTCTCAAGCTAGAGCAACTAATATATAGGAGACTCACAATTTTATTTTTACTTTTTTCAATAAATAACCTCCTTAAGATTAGGTGAATAGCATATCCTACCACACAAATTTTTGAGTTGACCCAGCATATATCTTAATTAATAATTAACTGCGAGCCAACAAATCTATTAATGCTATTATGGGTGAGGGCAAGATAGTCTTTTTAAGCTAGTATGTTTCATTTGTTCAGTCACCAGTCACCACTAGTAGCTATACCTGACAAGAAAATGATAACAAGTAGGAGTAGTATAAACTAAATGTTACCCAGCTCCCTCCGTATTTTAATATATAACGACGTTGATTTTTTATCAACTTTTAATTATTTATTTTATTTAAAAGTTTTAAAAATATAGAAATATTTATATCATACTTAAAAAACATTTGATGATAAATCCAGCCACAATAAAATAAATACTAATTATATAATTATTTTAAATAAGACGAATGATCAAACATACGTATAAAAAAAAGTTAATGGTATCTTATATTAAAATATGAAAGGAGTAATATATACTCTTGGCATCTCTATATCTAGTCTCTTCCCCATACGCACGAAGCGTGCAACCACCGCTCCCCCAAAAAAGTTTTTTTTTTTAAAAAAAAACGTTGGATCCAGTGCATTATGCTCGAACCACTACTAATATACTAGGCCCATGCAATTCATCCTCAGTTGTATGACACGTTACATTACATGGCATATTCCGATTGACCTAATATACAAATATATATTGGACACACCGTGTATTTGAAGATCATGCTGCATGTATGGTCATGTGTGATGAACAATATAATTGGCACTGTAGGTGATGTTGATGCGTGACGTACTCCCTCCGTCCAAAAAAAAGACAAACCCTGGTTTCCGTGCCTAATGTTTGATCGTCCGTCTTATTTGAAAAAATTATGAAAAAAATTAAAAAGACAAGTCACGCATAAAATATTAATCATGTTTTATCATCTAACAACAATAAAAATACGAATTATAAAAAAAATTCATATAAGACGAACAGTCAAAGTTGGACACGAAAACCTAGGGTTTGCCTTTTTTTGGACGGAGGGAGTAGCTGAGAAACATCGTCTGAGATATATAGTTGGATTTTAGAGAATCCATGGTTATTACGGTCTATGTATGTACTGTTGGACACGAAAACCTAGGGTTTGCCTTTTTTTTGGACGGAGGGAGTAGCTGAGAAACATCGTCTGAGATATATAGTTGGATTTTAGAGAATCCATGGTTATTATGGTCTATGTATGTTACATATAACATGTTAACACTAATTCAAGTTAAATTGGAAACACTTAGTGCTGGGAGAAAATAGTAACGGAAATTCCCGATCGACCGAGCGCCGTTTTCGTATAAGGGGTACCGTTTCCGACCGTTACCCTTTTTTTTTTTTTACAATTATACAGTACAACGCAGTCACTCACAACGCACGCGCACTCACCCCTATGAACACACGCACGCAAACCCTACCCCTATGAGCATCTTCGAAGACTGGCCGGCAAATTCTGAAGAGATTGACGAAGTCACCACAGACGCCTCGCTGTCGATGGGTACGTCGCCTACCACTGAAAGCACAACGCCGTTAAATCCTGGAAAATTCGCTCCCACGGGGAGTCGAACCCAGGACCTCAGGTGCTACTGAGGCTCTTGTAACCATTAGGCTACAGGCCCTTTCGCTATACATAAATTTTGTTTTTTCTAATTTCTTTTTGTATTATATTAATATCAACACTGAGTAGTTTCAATGATAAATATTCCGATGGAAAGAGATGCTACCTATTCCAATAGTTTCCGACCGTTTTTACACGTAAGTTATCTCGCTATTTTTTTCTTTATCAATAATGGATACTATTTTCTAAAATTGAAATCTTGCTACGAGTACAAGTAGTTCTAGAAAATAAAAAAAATCTTGCTACGACTATAAGGCTGTGTTCGCCAGAGATGTTCCCATCCGGAACAGTATTCGCGGAAAACGGAGCGGTTCATTAGTGCGTGATTAATTAAGTATTAGCTATTTTTTTTCAAAAATGGATTAATTTGATTTTTTAAGCAACTTTTGTATAGAAACTTTTTTTTAAAAAAAAAACACACCATTTAGCAATTTGAGCATGCGCGCGGAAAACGAGGGAGAGGGGTTGGGAAGAGGGAGTGCCGAACACACCCTAAGTGGTTATAGGAAACTTCATTGATCAATTACCATGGTTTAGGAGTAAACAAAATTTAAGTTTTTTTTTAATTTATCATGTTTTCACTTAGCAATCGGTTTCTATATAGGAGTAGTATTTTTTTCGCAGGTCGGCCGGACGAGCACCGGTCTAATTTTATTAGGTACTGACAATGTGGATACGAATATCTGAACAAAGGTGTTACAGTATCAGTTATCACAATTAGTGGAAGATTTTAATCAGCGGGGTGGTTGGGAGAGAGAAGCATTTCATTTTTCTATTTGTAACAAGTCAGCATGAAAATGATATTAAGCGGCACAAGAGTCGTGTCAACTGAGTAATCCTCTAAATTATGCATGCGTAGTTTGTAGATCGAACCACACTATGCAACCACCCTCCTAGAGTTATGAGTAATCCATAGAAAAAGAAGAATGGTCATGCGTGCATGCTGCATGCAGGTGTTTAGAAAGGCAAACGCATTAGTTATATATCGTCATAACTCATAACCAATCCTACTTTGGTCAAGTAAAATAAACTAAGTCCCGTTAAACAAATTATTTAGAACCCGGTCCTTCCACGAGGGTGACCTGGTCAAGAAAACAATACAGAAAGACGAACTAGAGTGGACAGTGGAGCATCTTATCTGGTCAAGAAGTGATTGGTGGGAAGGGCTCCATTTGAGAGAAGAATAATAAAGAGTGAAAAGAAAATTAGAAAGACGGCCAACAAGATAAACTTAAAAGATAGAAGAAGGCAGGAAAATGAATAATACTAATTGACAATTAAAAATGTAATAAGAATTGCAAAAGAAATAAATTGCATGTTGTTGAGATCGACATGGCCTCCAAACGTAAACCTTGACTACTACAGAACATTAAAATACCCAATTAAATTATTACATAACGAAAGTACCTTTGGGGCAATTCTACACACATTTTGATTTTCATTTATCTAATCAAAATACTTGATCTCATATATTGATAATCAAAGTTTAAAACATTTAGTCTGAAAACATGCCCATAGCTAAATGATTTTTTTTAACAGAGAGTATGATCCGCCAAGAAAACAAAAGAAAAAAAAGTCTTTTTTTTTCTAGACCACTTAACCCCTAAACAATTTCTCAGCTCATTTTATACCTTTAACTATTGAGAACCATTCACCTTACTCCCTAACAATATTTATAGTTTATGATTATCTATATATAAGTTGTATTAAATTTGGGTGGGATTGATATATGCATTATCACGTACCTCTTAACATTCTTTTATGACTGTTTACATAGGTTGAAAGCACTTGAGACTAATTGAACATATAGATTTTAAATTTCAAGCAAATAGTCATGAAAATATTTTAGAACTTTGATAATGGTGTCATTTATTTTAGAAAATTTCTAGGAAAAGCTCTACAAAATTTTAGTTGAAAATACAACTCGTATAAAGAGAAAAAAAGAAAAAGAAATACTATTAACCAAGTGATCCAATGAAATGTTTCAAGGGGAGTAAACTGGACTAACATCCCATGCATGATTGTTAATAAGCATATTGATAGGATATACATCATTTTCCCCTTAAAAACTAACATTGTCTATAGCTGACTAGTGACTATGATATTGCCTCCTTCCAATGTACTACAAGATCAAAGACTCTTCGGCTTGTCCGATCAGATAGTCGCTAATCAGTTCCTTCTCATCACATGGACTGCAAAGTAGTACTTGTTACATGTCCTGGCAGATCAGTGGTTTGAAAAAACAGAATACTTATTAGCTGTAGCATATCCAGGTTAATTTAGGTCCCAAGTTTCTCCCATTATGAGGTTATACATCCTATACATCTTTGAGCAATACTCTTTCTGTTTCTAAATGTAAGGGATTCTCGCTGAATATGGACATGCACAGAGGTAGTTATAAAGGAGATATTAAAACTAATCATACAAGTTAGAATAGATAAGAAAATCTTTGTATCTACCATTGATGTTTCCTCCAATCTTTTAGAGATATTGGTATTAAACGTTAGGGCACAGGAGGTATACCAGCCTCTGCATCTAGGATGAACACAACCATCTTAACCTCTTTACTAATGCTATGAGATATACATAGCTCCTAAGTATCAGAAATGTCTGCGAGGAAAAAAATTGTCAGAAATGTCTTGACATCGTCAACTGTTTTCACTCCACTTTTGTTCTGATCAATTCAACAAATTTATTTATTTATTACCTCTCAAATGACGTCAAACATCTATATTGTCAGTTTAATTTTTAGTCCAAAGTTAAGAGTATTGATTTTAATAAAGCCTTGTATTTTGGACGTGTAGTAGTAGTATATTTTAAGATTTGTGCCTTGGTCTTCTTAAATTCTGTGATGGACCCGTATTTTTAAGTAAAGAAGGCATCGGCCTTCCTAATTGGTGTTCAGATAGTACGACCACTAGTTTCCAGCAAATTACAAATATTTTTTTCTTGCCTGTGTCTTGAATAGGCACTTTGATCAGTTTCTTTTATTATACAAATATCCGTTTCAAATAATGCTGCAACTAGACATGTGTGATGGGCAGTGTTGTTAAGGTGGTAAGGCGGTTTAAGGCGACCCACCACTGACTTAGCGCCATAGCGCTGAGGCGTAAGGTGTTGCGACGCCTTATGAGATGATTGAGGCGTGATTAGTGGAGGATATGGTAGAGAAATTAGGAAGAAAAAAAAAGGAAATTGGTAAAACCGTAAAAGGCCCACTAAGCCAGGCAGCCAGCCCACCAAAGACCAACATTAGTCTTTATACCCACGTGTTTTATGCCCTAAGAGACATCGTACGCCACCAGGCACCAGCCACCATGACGAGAAGAGGCACCAGCCACCATCAATGTCTCTGGCCACTTCTTCTTTCTCTTTCTCTACAAGCCATCTAGGTTCCATGATGAGCTTACCTCTTCTTCCTTCCCTTTCTCTACTGGTTTTTCATGTTCTTTCCCTTTCTGTACTCGTTTTGCCTCTAAGGCGGAGGAAACATAAGGCGGAGTGGACGCCTTGACCTCCGCAACCGCCTTAGTGCTATAGCGATGCCATAGCGACCCCTTAACAACCATGGTGATGGGTAGTGGGCTGAGAGGTCGAGGTCCTTGTGTCCGTAGGCAACGGTTCCGTCATCCTACGGTAGGTCAATTGGATAGTGTCTGTTAGGTTGGGTCCTTCCCTCCATTTATATAAGGATGGATTATAGTGTCGTTCTAATTAAGAAATGAATCAGAATTACTCTCCTCCAGCTCCATCTATATAAGGATGGATTGTATCGTTCTTCTAATTAAGCAATGAATCAGAATTAGTCTCCCCCAACCTAAGAAGTGATCGGCTTGAGCTTGTCTATCTCAAACAAGGAAATGGCCTCTCACTTCTCATCCTTCTTAAATAGTCAAACAGGCTAAGAGCTAACTTCATCGAAATTCCCCCTTTTTAGAAGATTGGCAGCAATTCAAGGCTGTTTATTTGGTATTGACTGAGAATGGACGGCATTCGTGTGTTTTTCTTCTCTTCGTGCGAGCTTGAACATGCACATATTCATTCTTAAACCTCCACATTTTTGGTGCCTAGAAATATTCATTCCATATGGGTCAAATTGTAAGTTCCGACACATAACCGGATACCCCCATATTTGGGGTTCCCTTGAAAGTTAGAGAGCAGCCTTTGACTGTTTGTATTTGTAGAATCATAGCTTGTAATACTGTAACTTGTACTGAAACACTTAACAGTCTACTTGGAATCACAAGTTTTAAATTTCAGTGTAGCATTTTATTCATTCTTTTGCCCTTGTCAAAGAGGAGATATTTGTACTAGTTCTGTCACACTTCAAATAAAGGGCAACACCCAACTAGCTGGACCTTCGTTTCAAGCAATTACAAATGAATACAACTGGTCACAGAGGTAGAGACCTCTCTCTAATATGATATCTAGTGCTCAGGTGGGAGAATGAGCTAATGCTCAATCAGGTAATCAAAGAACAGCAGTTTATATAAACTGCAATAGTGTAGATCAGATAATCTTAGGTAGAGCCCAGAATTCAAGATAATGATTTATTGTACTTATACGCTTGCCCTCAATTACACTTATTAGTGGAATTATCCTACAAACACTGAAGCTCTGCTACATACCAGACTGTGATGAGCATGCCTGCTTGGATAGTACAGAAGCCTTTTTCTTCAGTTCACGTGTATGCAGCAGATTATGTCCTTTCAAGTTTGCATTACAAATCATATTAGTTATAGTATTACTATCAAGATCCACATGAATAAGCTGTCACAACAGTTATGTTTCAGGGAGGTGATGTGAAAACCAGACAAAAATCAAACAGGTGATTTATGTACTCCTCAATCAGAATAGGAGATTGACGAGAAAACAACAGTAGTATTATCTTGAACAACAAAATGTTCACTTCACATTCTATTAGAGTTATTTTTTTATGCAGGTGACTAACGCTAGGCACAAACCTTTTCATAAGCTCCACCATTCCCTTTCTCATGAACATCTCCATTATTGTCATTAATTGAAGAGCTGTTCTTCCCCACATTGGAATTTTCCTGAAGGTAAAACTAGTCAGATTTCTCCTAGCCAACAATCTCAACAGAAATCAATAAGAATTTAATAAGTTGTGCACCTTCATCGCATCCACATCACTCAAAGATCCGTCATTTTTTCCAGTCTCAACATCTTCCTGAAATGAAACAACCAAGAACAATGTGACCAAAGATCAGTAACACATTCAATTAATTTGCACAGCAACATTACACCCACATTACTGAAAAAAAGATGCATACCTTCTCTGCAACCTGATCTTCAGAAGAGATCGTCTTCTCAACAGCATCAACATTGTTCTGAAATCAAGAACTGAATCAGACTAAGTAATACTACTAGCTAGCAGCCTCAGCAATGAGCAAGCTAGACCTCTACCTCTTGGGCAGCGACGGCGGCAGCGGCCTCGGCGGCGGCGAGTGCCTGGCCGAGCGTGCCGCGGGGGTCGATGACGACGCTGGGCATCCTGTCGATGTCCCAGCCGAGCACGCGGCAGATGGCGGCGGCGAAGGCGCGGTGCGCCCGGGGCCTCCCGCAGCGGGTGGCGGCGCGGGCGTGCTGGACGAGGCCGACGCAGCCGGCGAACCTCCTGGCCTTCCCCTTCCTCCCCACGCACGCCATGCACACGAACTCCCCTCCCTCCCACCCCCGCTCGTAGTGCCCCCGCAGCGCCGCGTCCCGCTCGAACAGCCCCATGAAGAACCCCGCCGCCTCCTCGCCCTCCGATTCAGACCCTTCCTCCTCCACCACCTCGTCGTCGTCGTCCGACCCGCGGTTGGAGAAGAACTCCTCGGCGGCGCGGAGCGCGGCTCGCTGCGAGAGCGATCCAGGCGAAGGCTGCTTCTGCTGCGGCGGGCGCTGCGCGGGGGAGGAGGCGGCCTTGTTGTCGTGCCAGGTTGTCGGGGAGGCGGGCGGAGACGGCGCGAGGGGCCACTCCGGGCCGGATTCCTCCCGCTGCTGCTCCTGGGCGCGGCGCTCGAGCCTCCTGCGCCTCCGGCGGTCGACGCGGCGGAGGGTGGCGACGGAACCGGAGCCACGAGGAGGGATGGGAGCGGGGGCGGCGCGGCGCCAGAGGGAGTGGAGGTAGAGGACCTCCTCGGCGAGGAGGCGTTCGCGGTCGGCCCCGGGAGGCAGCTGCTCGCGGTGGCGCCGCCGCATCGCCGGCTGCTCTGCTCGCTCTAGTCTAGTAGAGGGGAGAAGGGGTCGTGGGGTTGGTTGCGAAATCCGACGGCTCGGAGGCCAACCGTCGCGCTGCGCGTGGCGTGGGAAGGTTAGCAGCTGCAGCGCCGCACCCGCAACACAACGCAAGATCGACGCAGGTCAAATTACAGTTACTCCCTCCATCCCCTCGTTGTAATTCAAGTTCAAATTTAAATTTAAAGTAGAATAAGTACTCCCTCCATTCCAAAATATAGCAACTTTTGGACACAGCTGTCCAGATTCATAGCTAAAAATGCTTATATTTTGGGACAGAGGTAGTATATGGTTATTTTGAGATGAAGGGAGTATATTTTCTCTAAAATAGAAACATAATGATTTATTCAAATGTTATTGGAGTAAAAGTATGTCCATTAAATTCTGAAGCTAGAGTGCCAGGCATATTTACAAAACCGTGTGGTTATCACATGTGATAACCTTTCAGTTTATGCAACAACAGTATATCTCACAGTATTTGTGGTAACCACCAAAACGTGAGATGGCGATAACCCCACCACCTAAATGGTTAGGTAAACCCTGAACATATCCAGGTTAAAAAATTTGTTGGATATAGAGCTCTCAAACCGTTTGAATCTAATCAATTCAACAGTTTGAATCTAATCAATTAGTGATTATACATAAAAATTAGTGATATTTATTATGTGTATTCAGCAACGAAAAGGCGTGATATCGAGAAACATAGGTGAACGCAGCACAGGCAAGGCATACGGAGTCGGGGCACTACCAATGTAAAGGAAACATGAATAAAAAGCATCTATACGAGTCTACAATCACATTTGCGGTAGCAGTAGCGTAAAGTTAATGAGAAACATCAGCTGATCTCAAAAGAGATCTCTCAACATCGACGAGAGAAACATGTCCAAACAAGTTCATAGACAAGGGCGCTTCTACAGTTCACAGCCCTGGATACCATGCGCCAGATTGGGCAGAGGGAGGTTTAAGCAGCTGGGGCATCGGCCATTTCCTGCTCGACAGGAGTGGCCTCAACCGGGTAGTACTTGTAGTGCAGCTCCCCAACATCATCTCCAGAAAGCTTCGTCCAGCCGTTCGGGCCAACATGGTAAACTGAAATTCAAACAAAAGGATAACGTCAGTTCTGGCACAATCCCACAATTCATGTTTGAACTAACAAAAGCGGGGTGCAGTCAGCAGATAATCAATAGGATCTTCATTTTGTAACTGTGCCCTCCAAAAGTCCTATGTAGCACACATAATTTCCCCCAATCGTAACAAGCGAAAGGTACTTCAGCATTATTTGTTGATTGAATCACCAATGCTGTTACCAAGGTGCTAAAATGCATATCTAATAAAAATTGTTGATGACTAACAATGTATCAATGATATACCCTAAAGGTTGTTTGATGTTACTGTTAAATGCAGTAAGATGGATTGATTTAATATGAATCCAAGCCATAATTAAGGCAGACAGTTGTGTGGAAAGTGGAAACATGACAGGAATAGAAATTATCACAAGAGATATCATGAAGCAGAGACCGGTAAACAGAAAGCATACCGCTAACACAACCACCACTTGCCCCATCACGGAATGTAGCTTGGTAAATAGCCCGCCTTGCTAACTCAGCAGCTTCCTCAACTGGCATCACATAGCGGTAACTGAAAAGCGGAAGTTCATACGTAAGTAACACAGTATAAGCAAGCAGCAAAGCAACATAAAAGGAGGTAAATAAAAGATAAAACCTACCCCTCGTCCAAGATACCATAGGCATACAGAGAACCTGATCCAACAGAGAATCGGCTTCCCATGAGCCTTGCGCCCTCACTATCAACATAGTACAAGCCAGGACCCTAGATCGAGATAGAACACATTAAGTATAGAGTAGCACACAGCACATAAACTTAAGACTTCTAATCAAAGGCATGTAGGCTGAATTCACCTTCTCATCCCATCCAGCAATCATTGTACCAATTGACAGTCCCATCCCACGGTAGGAGTACAGGATGTTGGCCAAAAGCTTTGAAGCACCAGCAATAGAGATCCTCCGCTTGTTCGCGAGCTCATGGAGTCGGCACTGAAAAGCATAACCTACTTTTAGTTCTCTGCAATGATGAAATGCAAGTACAATCAAGTTGAAATCTAACCTTGATGCCCAAGTTCCTATGCCAAAATTGACAATCAGCAGCACCTCCTGCCATTGTTCCAAGCATGTACGGATTTATTTCAATAATTTTCCTCACAGTTTGCGAAGCTGCAGGTAAGAAGAAATGTGATATTAAGACCCAATAAGTAAGATTAAGTGACCATCCTTGCAATAAAGCAAGGTCTTCTGAAACAGCAACAAGCATTTTGACAAAGTTACTTTTCTATGATAATATTCAAAGACAAGTTTTTACAAAAGGATTAGAACTTGTAATAAGAAAATAATAGCACTTAGGGTCATTGTGTTGTACTGTCAGTTCAGATCAGTGATTTCCACACAAAACAGTGTAATTCTCTAGAGTACAGGGTTGAACTTTATATCCATCCAAAGCACAAAGAGCATAAATGATAAATAGGTAAGCATAAAAGCCTGACCTTCGCAAAACATTTGACTCATCATGTACCACTGTACACAACTTGCATCCTAGGGTAAATCTTTTCAAAGCAAACCTTTTCCCACCAGAAACCTAGCTTATCTACACTACATCAAATCCCAATCTGTCGACAAATAGTTCTACGCTATCCATTAACACTAAATAAAGTAAACTATCTTCCTAAATAAACTAGTTTACAGTATAAAGCCTTCACCACACCATTCATAACCAAACACTACCAACTAGTTTCCTTCGTTCTCTGATAAAGTGTAAAAGAACCACTGTATGCAGATTTCCCTACTCTAGTCTAGTCTAGTTATTGAATTAAGAATCTCCCTATCAATTCCAAACCTAAATATCACTGGAGAACACAAATCTCGTAGATAACCACAAGTCCGCAACTTTCCATGCACCTATAAGTATGAGATCTTGCTACTCCACCCATCGACAGACCAATGCATCAAATTCCGCATTAAGATCTAAACTTCTCAGGCCCGAATCACACGACCACATCACAAATTAAGCGCAGCTGCCAAACCCTAAGACGCCCCTAAAATCGAAGCGCGAGAGAGGAAGAGGGCCGAGCGCTCACATATGTATCCGCCCATGCTGGCGCGGGAGTCGGCGGCGACGATGACGCCCTTGTCGAAGATGAACGCGAGCGTGGTCGTTCCCTTCTTGTGCTTCAGCATCTCCTTGGTCTCCTTCTGGAACCCGTCGAACTGCCCGCATCCCCCACCCACACACACCACCAGAGATCAATCGAGGGTTTAGAAACTTAAGAGAATCAGATCGCGGCAAAAGGGGATCGAAATCGACAAAGCTAGGGCACTCACGTCGGCGGGGCAGGTGGGGAGCTCCATGGCGGGCAGGTCGGCGCCGGCGCCGAAGAGGCCGCCGTCGTCCTCGCCGCCGGCGGCGTGGGCGGCGAAGTTGTTCTCCATGGCGGAGACGTCCAGCTTCATCGCGGCGATGGCGGCGAGAGGCGGAGGCGATGCAGTGAGTTTTTTCTCTCTTTTTTTCTTTTTTTTTTTTTTCCTTTCTTGCGATATAAGAAGAACCCGAGACTCCGAGAGCTTTGCTTGGCGAGGCTTTATGCGGAGAGAGGCGGGGGGTTTGGGCTTCGTTTCCTGGTCGGGTCCGCTTTATGGGCCCATGGCCCATCTGTCAGAGGAACAGGCTTGTTTCGAGTCGGATAGGCCCATGTTTGCATTGCTGCTTGACTATTCGGATTCGTTTGAGATTTCGACGGGTAACTGAAAGGCTAAAGCAGGTGAAATTGGGTGGATCTTTTCTGAATGCGCGAGAATTCAGTGAAAGTTGGAAATTTTAACAATTTATTATTTGCCACTTTGTTACATGTGAGTGCGTGATACGTTTTCCTTGGAGATGCAGACATGTCTTCTCATGTAGAAGTATCCGGTAATGTTATGATTCTGTACATCTTATGCAAATTTTTGTATCAGAATTTCAAATAGTTTGAAATTTAGTGTTCAGATTATTTTTCATCCATCATGCAGTCATACAGTTATAGTGCCTTCATTTTTCTAGGATCTTTTATTCCTTTTGTCCCTAATTCATTCAGTTACATCTTGAGCTGCAAGACTAGGCTGTTCACTTGTTCTGAATGCTGAAATCGCCTGACAACGACAAGTTGACAGCATCGCGAGCTTATTTGGAGTACATTTGTTGAGTCTTGGACTGCACGCATACACACATGTTCTTGGATCTTGAACATGAAGAATTGAATATCGACAACGAAAGCGAGCCCAAGAAAGAAACATGAACGCTGCATCCCTTCTTTATAGAGAAGATCCGGGTACAAATCTCTTCCACCTTCCCAGTTTCTCTTGACCCTAAAAATGATGTCAAAAATCAAAGACAATAACGCAAGCCCTCATAGTTGGAGTCAGGATTTTTACAGTGATTTTTGTAGGAGTTAGAATGTTAGATCAATCAATTCCCACAGGAATCAGTAACAAATCCCAAGTTTCAAAGGCACACAATCTCTTGTGCTTTTGCAAAAACTATCTAAAGACTATAACATAGTTGAGAAATCATTCATGTAAGTGACAATGTTGTGATTTGGATAGGCCATGACAATGAATCCTGAGGACAGGAAGAGTCTTACAAAGCTACTCAACAAAAACATCATGTACCTTGCGCGGTTTGATAGCTAGTTCATTGTCTTCCATGAGAATAGCCTTGAAACCCAATGGTTCTAGAACCTTCTGATAGCTGTGGTTGCGGAAAGGACAACGCAAGAGTACTGGGTAAGATTTTTGCACAACACAAAGTTGCATCACAAAGACAGAAAAACGGAAGGTTCTCAGATAAAGCCTATGTCTGCCCTGGGGGCGAGGGAACAAATGACTTACTCGGTGACTGTATTATTGAATGGTGGTCCTCCTTCTTGGTCACTGATCTGTAATAAGAGATTCTCTTTACGGCGAACAAAACAGTTTTATTAAATCAAAAGAAGTGAATTGCTAGCTCCTAACTAATTTTACACCCACTTGACAGATGGTGCATGCTAGGGTAACGAGCTGAAATTAGTTCTGTTTATTGTTTTAGAGAACTGCCTCAATATGGATGAAGCAAAATATATTGGAATGATGTCAAAAGAAGTTTTAGCAGGTCCGTTTGTAATATCACCAGAGTATGCACAAATAGCTTCAGCTAATTGCTCAAAACCAATTTCCTACTTTTCAGGTGCATCCTAATATCTGTAGATGCATGATTTAGAAATGACTAAATAAGAAATCGGCCGCCAGAAGTTGGCTGCTTGTTGAAAGCTCTCGAGTTAGGAAAACTAGAGGCAATACCTCATTGATTTACACCAAGCTATGAAAACCAATTTAATCAATTTCCCCATTGCCCATTTATGTATATGCTATCATAAATAGCAGCCAAAGAGTAGAAAATAACTCACTATGTTGATCCTCAAAACTTTTGTCAATCTAACAGAACATGATAAACATTGCTAGCTCCTTGCATAACAGTCCATAAGACAACTTGTATAGTTAACCCTACCTAAATTCTATTTTCTGTCTTCAGAAATAGCGAGTGCATACGAGGCTATGTCTTCAGAAGGATAGGCTATGAATACAAGCCTCAGACCTCAGCACAATATGATATGATTAGTACCATGACATCCTCAATGGAAAAGTAAACAAAAGAATAGATAGATTCTTCAGTTACCAAATATATAAGGGTGATTAGCTCTCCATGAGGTTTTAGAAGCCCACTAACTGTTTCTGCCCAAGCCAACCTCAAGCTTGGATCAAGTGCACAAAAGAACCTGTGTATATTAATAAAGGTCATTTAAGATGCCACAAGAATACGAAATCAACAGGATAAAATTAGCACATACGTATAATCGAAAATAAGATCAAATTGTTCACTTGGTTTCCACTTGAAGAAATCGTCAGCCAGAAAAGTAAAACAGTCTGCATTTGGCAAAGATGATGACCACTGGTATACCAACGGATAAAAGGATTAGATACTTCTATATAAATTTTAGAGCAACGGGTCTAACCAAAAACTATATTACCATTTATGTACTGAAATGTTCTTAAAAGTTCCCTATTAATGAAATAGGCAATCCTCCTGCCTAACTTTCAAAAAAAAAGGGGGGGGGTTCAAAGTGAAGTATCTGTGAAGTTCTAGGTGTGAAACCATGTGTGGTTATAGTTCTTTTGTGATGGGAAATTGACAAGTACCGGATGTGCAAGAAGTGTGTGTGTGGACTAACGTTGGTCAGGTTGCGACATCTGTGCCAAGACAACGGTTGTTTGGTTCATGTGTGTGCAGGTGATCGGGGTCGATCTTGGTCAACGGCGGATCGGGACTAGACTCAGGGAGGAGTTGAGGTCCAAAGCGATCAAGGATGCCGGGTGACAAGATTGGACACAAGGTTGCACACGGTGGACGAACACCGTGTGAAAAGGTCTTTGCAACAGGCTTCACAAGGTCAAGTGTGCAAGCATCGGATTCGCGAAGAAATCAGAAGGGACTGTGCAAGTGCATTGCTGCTACAGTACTTGCTGTAGGTAGCATACATGCATGTACACGTACTGTACTTGTGCAAGGAGGAGCTTGCACTGTACTGGTTGCTACTAGCATGGCTCGGTGGAAAAGTCAAGCTAGCTAGCTGTGCATGTGCGCTGTGATTGGTTGGCAGGGAGGCCAAGCCAATCCAGCCGTTCCACGTGGCCCAAGATGGTGAATGGCTCGGCTCGGCAGGCCTGCATCGTCCAAGCAGCGACGGCCCAAGACGGCGGCCCATGGCGCATGGGCTCAGGAGGTGCAGGCAGCTTGCATGCGCAAGGACGCGCGCGGAAAAACCGTACGCGGCAACCCCCGTTTCGCGTGACTCGATCGGAGGCGGGTGCAGGAGCGCGGGACCCACACGCGATTTTGCAAGCGCGCGCGGGAGCGGCTCAGCGGGACGCGTGGCGGCTTCGGGCTGGTTGGGCGCTGGCGAGCGCGCGCTGAGGAAAAGGAGACGGAACGCGCACGACGCGGCTGGGCAACGTGGCAAGTTTGGATTCGTCAAGACGGAGAGCACGCGGATTCATCAGCAAGAAGACCATGTGAGGGTTCGGATCGATGAGGTGGCAATCATCTGGAGCTTTTCCTTTGAGTAGAAGGAACAATGGATGGACCAGATCTGTTCTGAGTTAGGGTTTCGCCCTAGGGGTATTTGAGACAATGTCTTAGGGGTCTTAGGCTATAAATAGAGAGATGGATGCAAGGGTGGAGGTTGCTCCTTTTGGTAATCATTTTGAGATGCTCGGTGAGAGAGTTTCCGTGTGAGTTTGGAGTGTGTTTGCCCGAGAGGCTTTTGTATTAGGATTAGTTTGGAGTGTGTTTGTCCGAGAGATTTTAAGTTTGTGTTAATGTTCCTCTGAAGGTGTATGTTTGCTCCTAGTTGAGCGGTTATTTTGCATCACCTATAAATGAAATGATTTGAAGGATTTCATTTTTGCCTTGTCCATTTAAATTCCGCAATTTAAATTCCGCTTGCAATTTGAACTTTGCGATGATGAGTTTTGCTCTCTCTTTCTCACCTCTCTTCTAGTTTCGGGAATTCCTTTTCTCTTCCTCCTCTAGTTTCGGGAATTCCTTTTCTCTTCTTTTTCTCTCTTCTTTTCTAGATCCGGCTTCTCTAATAGCCGCGATTCTAGTAAGGATTTTGAGAAATCCGGCTTGATGAGTATTTTCGGGGGCAAGATTTGAATTGCTATATTCACCCCCCCCCCTCTATAGCTGTTCTTGGTCTTTCACTAGGTTGCAAGCTTAATTAAGTTAACATAGCTTCTCATAAGTGATATCGAGAACTCGACTACAGCTCACCTGCTTAGCCTTCTCCACAGCTGTACTAGAAATATCCAAGCCAACAACAAATCGCTCAGGGCTTGCCAGAGCAACCACATCATATCCCTGTTACACAGAAGCGCCTCCATTGGAAAAGTTTCATGAACTGGTATTGAAAGACGCGAATATTAGGGAAGGACCTAATATCAAATAATTAAAAGGGGTGAGGCTTCGAACCCAGGTCGTCTAGCTCACCACCTTGTGGAGCTAGCCAGAAGACCCCTAGGCGTTTCTCTGAACTGGTATTGAAAGGGAACAACCGAGCAGGCAGGACCCTCGTAATATTCGATTCAAAGGATTTCCAAATCATAGGAATAGGAAAAGTAAAAGATTAGGATGCCACGTGCACTCCAATCCATAGGAATTTTTCCAAGAGATCTTACCTCATGCCAAGAATCATATGGAATAAGGTTGTAAGACTACAATACTTAGGAATTTGGTAGGATCTATCCTATGAAATGAATGATACATGGAGGAAAAAAATCCTATAGTTTCAATTCCTACAATAATCCTTGGATATCCTTTGAACCGATAATATAATTGTTCTTGTACATTGGGCAGGAACAAGAACAAGGAAAGCATCAATGATCATGCGGGGAAAAGAAAGCAGGCATAAGCATATGGCAAATGGGGTTGTTGATTCACTTGCCGTGCCGCATCCTGGAACCAGAGCTCTCCCCTTCGGGAGAGTTCCTGATTTAACGAGATGTTCGATGATAGGTGTTGGCTTCCCCAAATCCCACGGGGTTACGGCGGCCTCCCACGACTTCTCCCAGCCATCTGATTCAACAACATTCAAGAACAAGCAATTCCAAGTCAGGATGCTGTATCCACATGATAAAATGAAAGCACCCACAAGGTAGAACAATCTACTCTATAATCTCAACATCATCCTTCTCTTTCAGCGAAACCACATTATCTGTTGTTAACTTCAGCATGATTTCAGAGAGCAAACAAGCTCTCCAACTGCAGAATCTTCTCCTCAAAATTGTGGTCCTAGCTCATACAATGAGACAACCATAGTTTGAGTTCAACCAATGCTGTTTCAGCAAAGCCGCCAGGGAATCACCGGAAGAATCCCTTTCTACTGCCTCATTTTTCCTCCTCTTCAACACTAGGCCAAACAAATTTCCCCAACTACTCGCCCCCAACTCAATGATCCAATCCGCCCACACCCACCACCACCCGCACATGCGATACCATGACCCAAACCTAGAAACCCCCCCCCCCCCCCCTCTCCTCAATTCCAACTCCCCCAAGTCCCCAACCAACAACCACCAGAGAGAGACAGAGAGAGCGAGGGGGAGAGCCCGATCCATCCTCACCTGCCGCGTCCCCGCGCTGCACGAGCTCCCGCAGCCTCCCCACCGCCGGGTTATTGCTCGGGTCCCTTCCGCCGCCGCCGCCCACCCTCGCCGCCGACGAGCTCATCGACGCGAAGAACCCGAAGCCGAGGCGAGAGCGAGGCAGCGCGTGCATACGGCTCGTAATAATAATGATAATGACTAATTACTCCTCCGTTTCATACAGGTTCATATTATAAATGGAATGATTTTTTTAGTGAAATTTTATTAAGTTTGATCAAATTTATAGAAAAGATTTAGTAATATATAAAATATTAAATTGGTTTTATTAAATCTTATATTGAATATGTTTTAATAATGTGTTTGTTTTGGGTTAAAAACCATACTATATTTTTTATAATCTTATCAACCAACATTAACTTAGAAAAAGAGTCAAATACTCCCTTCGTTTAAAGTCAAACAACTTAAAGTTTAACCAAGTTTATAGAAAAAAATAGTAACATATTTAACCCAAGACAATTTATTATGAAAATATATTCAATTATTGATTTGGCTAAACTAATTTAGTATTATAAATATTACTATATTTGTCTATAAATATAGTCAAACTTTTGTAACCTGAAATAACCTGTACTCCCTCCGTCTCATTTCAAGTGCAGCCATGGTTTTCCGAGCCCAGCTTTGATTTCGTTTTATTTAAAAAAATTTAAAATCATAAGTCACGAGTAAAGTACTATTCATGTTTTATCATCTCATAATAATAAAAATATTAATTATAAAAAAAAATAAATAACACGAACGATCAAATTGAGCGTGGAAAGTTGCACTTAAAATGGAACGGATGGAGTATTGTGAAACGGAGGGTACTGTTAAAAAAGGAAAAGGTGAGGGTGTAATTATAAAAGTGGAAACGAAACGAGACGAAATAATTTAATCCGAAGGGGATAAGAGGATAAAATTATCAAAAAAATAAAAAGAAGGAAAAAAAAAAGGGAGAGCTGTCGAGTATATCACTTCGCTGTGTGGCTTCTCGTCCCCACTCGCTTCACCCCAAATCCCTCAACGGCAGCAAGAGAGAGAAAGAAGAGAGAGAGAGAGAGAGAGAGAGAGGAGTAGACGTCGCCCATGGCGGAAGAGGAGGAGGTGGAGGAGGGGAGGTCCTCGTCGTCGGCGATACTGGACCTGCCGGAGCCGCTGCTGCTGCACATCCTGAGCTTCCTGACGGACGTGAGGTCTCGGCACAGGGCGGCGCTGGCGTGCGGGAGGATGCGGGCGGCGGAGCGGGCGACGAGGTCGGAGCTCTCGCTGAGGGGCGACCCGAGGTCGCCGGGGTTCCTGTTCCTCTCGCACGCGTTCCGCTTCCCGGCGCTGGAACACCTCGACCTCTCGCTCGTCTCGCCGTGGGGGCATCCGCTTCTCTCCTCCGTGCCGCCCTGCGGCGGCGGCGGCGGCGGCGCGCCCTCGGCGTCGTCGTCGTCGGGGATGAACGTGTACCACCCCGAGGCGATCTCCGAGCAGAACGCCTTCATCGCCGCCCGCCTCGCGGGCTGCTTCCCGGCGGTGACCTCGCTCGCCGTCTACTGCCGCGACCCCACCACGCTCGCCAACCTCACCCCGCACTGGCAGGCCTCCCTCCGCCGCGTCAAGCTCGTGCGCTGGCACCAGCGCCCGCCCACCCTCCCCGACGGCGCGGATCTCGAGCCGCTGCTGGAGACCTGCGCCGCGCTCCGGGAGCTCGACCTGTCGGAGTTCTACTGCTGGACCGAGGACGTCGTGAGGGCGCTCACCACGCACCCTTCCGCCACCGCGGCGCTCACCCACCTCGACCTCGGCCTCGCCGCCGCCACCGACGGCTTCAAATCCTCCGAGCTTGGGCCAATCGCGGCCTCCTGCCCCAACCTCCGCAAGCTCGTGGCGCCATGCTTGTTCAACCCACGGTTCAGCGATTGCGTCGGCGACGACGCGCTGCTCTCGCTGGCCACCAGCTGCCCGCGGCTGACCGTCTTGCGGCTCAGCGAGCCGTTCGAGGCTGCGGCCAACATCCAGAGGGAGGAGGCGGCCATCACCGTTGCGGGGCTAGTCGCCTTCTTCGCGGCGCTCCCCGCGCTGGAGGATTTCACCATGGATCTCCAGCACAATGTGCTGGAGGCCGCGCCCGCGATGGAGGCGCTTGCCCGAAGGTGCCCGCGGATCAAGTTCTTGACCCTGGGTTCCTTCCAGGGGCTGTGTAAGGCCTCTTGGTTGCATCTTGATGGTGTTGCGGTGTGCGGTGGGCTGGAGTCACTTTACATGAAGAATTGCCAGGATCTCACGGATGCCAGCCTTGCGGCAATTGGCCGTGGGTGCCGGAGGCTTGCTAAGTTCGGCATCCATGGCTGTGACCTTGTCACTTCGGCTGGGATCAGGAGGCTTGCATTCACGCTTCGGCCTACTCTCAAGGAAGTCACTGTCTTGCACTGCCGGCTTCTGCACACTGCAGAATGTCTCACTGCTCTAAGTCCGATCCGTGATCGCATTGAAAGTCTTGAGATCAACTGTGTCTGGAACACAACCGAACAACCCTGCAGTGTTGCAAATGGCACCACCACCGAATGCGATCCTGAGGATGATGAGCTTGGTGAAGTGTACGAGTCTGCAGCCAAGAAATGTAGGTACATGGAATTTGATGATCTTGGAAGCTGGGAGATGCTCAGGTCACTCTCCCTATGGTTCTCTGCTGGCCAGCTTCTCTCTCCGCTCATTTCTGCTGGTCTCGATAGCTGTCCCGTGCTTGAGGAGATCTCAATTAAGGTGGAGGGTGATTGCCGGACATGCCCACGACCTGCTCCAAGAACAATTTTTGGCTTAAGTGATCTTGCAGGCTTCCCAGTATTAGCCAAGATGAAATTGGACCTCAGTGAAGCTGTGGGTTATGCACTTACTGCACCAACAGGGCAGATGGATCTTTCACTATGGGAGCGATTTTATTTGCATGGTATCGAATCACTGCAGACTTTGTATGAATTGGACTACTGGCCGCCCCAAGACAAGGATGTGCACCACCGGAGCCTGACATTGCCAGCCGTGGGATTGATCCAACGCTGCGTTGGACTCAGGAAGCTTTTCATCCATGGCACCACACATGAGCACTTCATGACCTTCTTCCTTTCAATTCCAAACTTGCGGGACATGCAGTTGCGGGAGGACTATTATCCAGCCCCAGAGAATGATCTGATGTTCACAGAGATGCGGGCTGAATCTTGGCTTAGGTTTGAGGTGCAACTGAACAGCCGGCAAATTGATGATTAGTTATGTGGGCACAAAATGGTTTGAAGCTGAATACAGAGATTTATCTGGATGGTGCCATTGCTCCACTGTGCAATGGCAGGGGATTCCTGGTGAGTTGGTTATGATTATGGGTGGAGTCGTGTGTATTGCTGCAGTGCCATTGAGGAGAGTAGTATACTGGCAGCACTTGGATCTGTCAGCAAAGTAACCTTCTCCAGTTGCTTTTTTACCCCCTTTTTGATGTAATAAGAGAGTTGGGTCGGAAATGAGATATTTGCAGGAGATAAGATTATAAATTAGGCTTCATGGAAAATTTTCCAAGAAAAAAAAACATTTTGTTTTTAAGATGGTCTGAGTTGTGAACACCGGCAAGAGTAATTGGCAAATTGGCATGGTTCTAGCGGTTTGTAACATTTGAACTCTGTAAACAAAAGAAAAACGCCACTCGCTTTTCTTATGCCCTTTGCTTCATGGGTGAAAGTGGCTCATCTAATATTGGTCAGTGTTTTACTGTTTTCAATGGATGGGCAACGGAGTTCAGTACTACTGCGATAGGAAACTATTTTGATGTGTACATAACAGCTCTATTAATCCAAAATTATGTGCCTTTGCTCTTTGAGTTTATTTCTGTCCCTTTCCTTTTCCATTTCATGCACAGGCTTGGTGACAAATGGGATGGCGTGTGCAGATGTGCAAGCCAGTTTTGCATGTCATTATCGGGCATGTTGAGTTGCAACACCGGCTACAACAAGGTTTACTTTAATACACAGCAGTAAGGATTTAATCTGATAGAATGTTGAAAGGTTTTCTCTTTTTTATGCAGGATTGAAAGCTGCTTTAGTTTCCAAGGAACAACCAATCAGTTCCATCAGAACTGACTACCACCATTTGCTGATTCGTTCTCTGCAGTGATCCCCAATGGAGACCTGGCCTTTGCTTCATCTCATCCTCAAACTGTAGCATGACAAGAAAGACGTGCGGAACAAGATCAGCATCAGAACATGACAAAAAGATTTTCGCACTAGAAGCCGGTTTATCCAATTCCTCTGCTTGCCTCTTCCATTCAGCTAGTTAAGATAATGCGAGATCACTGGTTTTGTCAAAGCAAATCCAGACGATTCTTGGTGCCATGGAAAAAGAAGTCGTCCATGAGTGAGAGAGCTCTCTTGTCCTAATCCATCAGCAAGGGCAATAATGCTTTTTTGATTAAGCAGCTGGAGGCCTCACAAAATAATGCTTAAGCAAGTACTACTACAGGATTAAAAGCTGGCCTCTAGAAGGAGTAGATTAGGTAGAGGAGAAGCTTCTCCTTTCCTCTTTTGCCACGTTGAGGCTTATTGCTCACATGATTGTCAATCAACCACGTCACACAAGCACATACACACACTTATTATTTGCTCATAGTTTTAGTTATTTATCAACATTTGGCAGATATGTGTTGGAAATTCAGATGCTCCTTGATGCCATTTTATCTTGCTGGTACATCTGCATAACTCGCTCATTACTATCTGTTGCAATATTATTATACATTTGGATATTTAATGTGCTGATCGCTTCTTGCTACCTATCTAATTTCAGAATGTCTTGAAAGCAAAGCTGGTGACAGGAGAGATGTCATATGAGCAGGCAGTCAGTTGCAGCCTTGTGGTTGCACCTCCCTTTCCTGCTGTCCTCTTTTTTTTGTTTTCCCTGGTTTCTCTTCATCAGAATTAAAGCAGATATTTTTGTGGCGGCCGTGGATTTCCATTCATCTGATGATCAGCTAGTAATATTCTGCAAGTGCCTTCCGATAGAATTGAGCGATGATTCTGAGGTCAGATACTCATCAGATGCTCGAAGGATAAGTGGGTTTCAGACGATGCTGCAAAAGATATTAGCCGGCGAGTGAGGTGAGGCTACTAGCCTACTAGGCTTATCGCCTTGTATAAAACTAAAGGAGTCAGTACAGAGACATCAGGTAAAGTCAGCATATGCAGCTATCCATCTATGCATGCATGCACCAACTGCAAAGTAAAGGTAAAAGTGAAAGCTTTGTCTTCCAGGTGTATGGAAGAAAATTATCCTTGTGATGGTTATGCAACTCACTCTTTTGTTTGCACCCAGATATGTCATATTGGCTTTTTCACCATGGTGTCAAGGTTGATGTGAATGTGAATGTGATTCTACTAATTTGAGGTCATGTAGAGTAATTAAGTAAGCAAATGGAGCCCGTCATGTCGTCATGCACTGACAAGGATATAGTCCTATGGACCTCTATTTTGATTAATTGGTGGAGAAAATTCAGAGGAAAAATATGTGTGTGCTGGAATATGTTGGTATTTTTTTTTTACAACCTTAACTTGTGATGATAATATTGTACAGTACACCAGTAGCTTTCTGCCGTGTAGATGCTGACGGCGCTAGCGATGCTAGCAAAACAACGTGCGTGAGGAGTGGTTTTCACAATCGATCCTTTTACAAACATATGTTACAATTACTTTCGTGAGACACGTGTAAACACAAAACATATATATCTCGAGAGATTAATTTATTATCAATATATTATTCATGAGGTTGACGAAATTACTATAGATATCTTGTTAAGCTTGTATCTTCCATTATATTTTGTTAAGCATGTATCTTTCACTAAAGAATATGAAGAATACGAGGCATGTTGTATCATAAAGGAATCTAACAAAATTATATCATTATGTTTGATAGAACTTTTTTTCCAAAAATAGGCCCTAAACATATAGCGATGATATTTAACTCGGTGTATATAAATAAAGTACAACACTATATGATTAGGTGTTGTGCAACCTACTGCGTAGGATATGCTTTGTGAAAAGTAAGTAGCTTTACGGACCATCCTACGTGATTTATACAGTATCAAATCCTGTGACACCGTACCATAATAATCCATAAACACATTGTATGCTTAAATGTCACGACGCCAGTCCTGTTTAGCTCACACCAAACTTCCCCAAAACTTCCAATTTTTCATCACATCACATCACATCCAAAACTTTCCACTCACATAAACTCGTAACTTTTTTTTCAAACTACAAACTTTTCTCAAACTTCTCCCCAATTTCAGAAACTAAACACAGCCGAAGAAAGTTTTTGCGAGGGTTTTAGTTATAAAAATTGCTTTTTAAAAGGGGTAATTCGAGAAAATGCGCCACGTGGGTAGACTACTAATTATAATCGATAACACTATGGCATGTAAGTAAGACCACGTGTATAGGTAATTAAGTACACGCCTTAATTGATTATTACGAAGGTTGATTCCCTCTGCAGCAAGGTCACGCAAGTACACGTGACACGTCTTGTTTAAGGGAAGAAATTGGAAGCATCGCTTGTGATCTTGCAGCATGCTAGCTTAATTAATCCATCGACTGAAATAGTTAAAAAAAATCTTCTCGTGCTTAATTTTATATTAAGAGATGAAATTAAGGGCGATTTATTAAATGCCACTGAAAATTCAACAGTTTTTAAGAGAGAAAAAAAACCACATTTATTCCTCAAAAACTATTTATTTGGTTTGCTTCTCGTGGCCCCATCTCTGTCCATGGCGACCTCAAAGTCGCGCTTGCTTGTATGGAGCAGCGCGCGGACCACCTCACCGCCGCGTCCAAGCCCGAGGGTGGCGACGAGAGGCTTAGCACATCCGCCCCCGCCGCCCCGAGGCAACGGATAGTCACATGCGACGAGGTCCCGGTCAAGGAGGTTGCCCTGGGCGACAGCCCGTCCAAGACCACACGGATCGGTGGTCTTCTGGACGGCAAATAGGAAGACGCACTCGTCTCTTTCCTGCGGGCAAACGCTGACGTCTTCGCATGGAGACCGGCGGATATGCCCGGGGTCCCCAGGGAGGTGATTGAGCACCGTCTTGCCGTGCGATCGGGCGCAAGGCCGGTCCGGCAGAAAGTACGGCGGCAGGCCCCGGAACGTCAAGCCTTCATCCGCGAGGAGGTGGCGCGACTTTTGGAGGCCGGATTCATCCGCGAGGTCATCCATCCGGAGTGGCTGGCGAACCCAGTGGTCGTTCCCAAGGCGAACGGCAAGCTTCGGATGTGCATCGACTACACCGACCTTAACAAGGCATGTCCTAAGGACCCTTACCCCCTGCCTCGCATAGATCAGATTGTCGACTCCACAGCGGGGTGCGACCTTTTGTGTTTTCTAGATGCATACTCTGGTTACCATCAGATTCGCATGGCTAGGGAGGATGAGGAAAAAACTGCATTCATTACCCCCATATGAACTTATTGTTATACGACAATGCCCTTCGGGTTAAAGAATGCAGGTCCTACTTTTCAACGTACTACTCGAATTTCTTTGGGTAGCCAAATAGGACGTAATGTTGAGGCTTATGTTGATGACTTGGTTGTAAAGACGCGCAACCAAGAGACCTTACTCTCGGATCTAGCGGAAACTTTTGAGAGTCTCCGCTCCGCCCGCATAAAACTGAACCCCGATAAGTGCGTGTTCGGTGTACCTGCGGGCAAGCTTCTCGGGTTCTTGGTCTCTGCCCGAGGCATCGAGGCCAACCCCGAGAAGATACGAGCTATAGAGCAGATGCGCCCCCCCAGCAAGCTTAGGGATGTGCAATGCGTCACCGGTTGCATGGCCGCCCTAAGTCGGTTCATATCGAGGCTGGGAGAGAAGACGCTACCCTTATTTAAGCTCCTCAAACGCTCCGGGCCGTTTACTTGGACGGAGGAAGCTGAACGTGCCCTCACTCAGTTGAAGGCGTATCTCAGCTCTCCCCCAGTTCTGGTCGCCCCGGAGCCAAATGAACCCTTGCTACTCTACTTAGCGGCGACCCCGCAAGTGGTTAGTGCGGCGTTGGTTGTGGAGCGCGATGAGGACAATCCTCATTCCGCGCACCCCCACCCTGTGCTGGTTTGGCCCGGGAGAGAGCAGGGAGGAGAGGCCCCCGACGACCGGAGCAGGCCCTCTGCCCGCTTGTCAGACGGTGCCAGGTGCCCCCGACCCCCAGGATGGCCCGAGGGCCACTGCGGGAAGGCCGCACCTATCGCCCTCTGACCCCGAGGCTAACCCTGTGCCGACTCGACCCGGGAGACAGCAGGGAGAAGAGGCCCCCGAGCCGAACGGTGGCCTAAGGCCCCTGACGGCCGGAGTTGGCCCTTTGCCCGCTTGTCCAACGACGCCAGGAGCCCCCGACCCCCAGGACGGCCCCGAGGCCACTGTGGGAAGGCCGCCCCTGCCGTCCTCCGACCCCGAGGTCGTCGGCACAGAAGACGAGTGCACCCCGCAAGGCCGCTTGGACAAAGAGCGCCCCAGGGATGTGGCCCCTAGCGAAGAGGATCGGCCCCACCGAAAGGTGCAGCGGCCCGTCTACTTTGTTAGTGAGGCCCTCCAGGACGCCAAGACCCGATACCCTCAGGCCCAGAAGATGCTTTACGCTATTCTGATGGCTTCGAGGAAACTGCGCCATTATTTCCAGGCGCATCGGGTCACGGTGGTTACGTCTTACCCCCTCGGCCAAATCTTGCATAATCGAGAGGGTACTGGACGGGTGGTGAAATGGGCAATCGAACTTTCTGAGTTTGATTTGCACTTTGAACCACGCCACGCTATCAAGAGCCAGGCCCTCGCCGATTTTGTGGCAGAGTGGACCCCAGCACCCGAGCCCGTCTCAGTCCCCGAGGCCAGCTCGGGCCCCTCGCAGCTGCCTCACACCGCCCACTGGGTGATGCAGTTCGACGGCTCCCTGTCTCTTCAAGGCGCCGGTGCGGGGGTCACGTTGACCTCGCCGAGCGGAGACGTCCTCAGATATTTGGTTCGCCTTGACTTTCGGGCGACCAATAATATGGCAGAGTACGAGGGACTCCTTGCGGGACTCAGGGTGGCAGCTGGACTGGGAATCCGCCGCCTCCTGGTGTTAGGCGACTCCCAGCTGGTCGTTAACCAGGTATGTAAGGAGTACCGGTGCTCTGACCCGCAGATGGACGCTTACGTGCGCCAAGTACGGCGTATGGAGCGCCATTTTGACGGGATAGAGCTTCGGCACGTGCCCAGACGGGATAACACGATTGCCGACGAACTCTCACGGCTCGCTTCCTCGCGAGCCCAGACCCCACCGGGCGCCTTTGAAGAAAGGCTTGCCCAGCCGTCGGCGCGACCCGACCCCTTAGGGGAGACGGATGCGCCTGACAGGCCCCCGAGGCCCGTCGGAGTCCAGGCCTCGGGACCCGAGGGGAGCGCTCCCAGCTCCCTTAGATTGATTGCTTGGATCGCTGAGATCCAAGCATACCTCACAGATAAGACTCTACCCGAGGACCGCGAAGGGAGTGAACGCGTCCAGCGCATCTCCAAACGCTACGTGCTGGTAGAAGGGACCCTCTATCGGCGCGCGGCTAACGGAATCCTCCTGAAGTGCATTCCTCGGGAACAAGGCGTCGAGCTTCTTGCCGATATCCATGAAGGCGAATGCGGAGCCCACTCCGCCTCGCGCACCTTGGTTGGCAAAGCCTTTCGACAAGGTTTCTATTGGCCGACAGCTCTCAATGATGCGGTCGACCTGGTCCGGCGATGCAGAGCGTGTCAATTCCACGCCAAGCAAATCCATCAGTCGGCCCAGGCCCTGCAGATCATACCACTTTCATGGCCATTTGCTGTCTGGGGGCTCGATATCCTGGGACCGTTTAGGCGGGCCCCGGGCGGGTTTGAGTATCTGTATGTCGCGATCGACAAGTTCACTAAGTGGCCCGAGGCTTATCCGG